ATACCACATATACATAAAATATACTTTAAATATACACTCGAGTTTCAATCGTTTCTCAAAATCGATTTCAAAACCCACATATACATAAAATATACCTAAGATATACACTTGAGATATTTTCACGAGCAAATTGTTTCTCACGGGCAGAACCCACATATACATAAAATACATCTAATATATACCTAAAATATATCTCAAATATACTCATTTTTTTTCGTTCTGGTTCAAATTTGATGTTTTCCATAGTCAGTCCGGAAATCTTGCGCAAAAAACATGGGATATGATAAAGAAAGATAAGTAATTGATTGTAGGTATGAATGCAAATAATCCTTATCTATTAGGTATAATTATAATTAAATAATGTTGCAATTACTTAAAAAACGGTAAGTATACATGAAAATTTCCCTAATTTATTTTCAATGATAAAATTGTAATAATTAGATGCTATTAAAAGAAGTGAGCCTCTTTTGAAAGAGAAAAGGAGGATAATTTGCTTTAGAAATTTGCTAAATCATACATCCTAAAAACAATGTCAACAAGCAACTTATACGTTTATCTCATTTCATTTACCTTCATCATTCACAAAACAAAAAATCTGTTTTTAACCATTAATTAAAGATATTAATTTTGGTTGCTGGGTTTCATTTTCTTTATATTATACGTTAATCCCATTTCATTTGTTTTGAATTTTGGCTAGTGAAACTGTAGTTGTAGTGTTCTTTTTTCCTGGGATTAAAAAAAACAACAACTACATACCCAGTATATTCCCAACAGGTTGGGATTTAAGATTCAGTTGTACGCAGACCTTACCATTGTAATTATACAAGGAGGCTGTTTCCGTAACGATTAAAAAAAAAAAAGGATGGCCCTTTTCGACTGGTTTGCATGAAATGGATCTATGGAAAGCTGAATTAAAACTCAACTATCATCTAAAGTTGATGAATTTATAATAATTATAAATTTGTCTGCTTAGCATATTTATGCTAAAAACAGTGCAGTCATGTCATTATGCAAAATAAGTTCATAATGAATTCACATCGACATTTGAAGACGAAAACCGCAAGTTCTGGTGAATAATATAATCAAATAACAAACCATCCAAGACACTAAGAGTGTCTGTAACAGACTAACATGAGTAAACAGACTTCTAACATTACTCATCAAACCACGGGGAGCACCCAACTTAGAAAGAATCATAGATATCAACTGGCTAATGAACGATTCGCAACAAAAGGAAGTTGTAAGATACAAAGAAAATGAAATATAGAGATACAAGCAAGAACCAAAACCAAAGCCTCAACCGAATACTGCTATTTGATCAGAGTACGAGTACAACACTATGTGCCAAAGGTAACTATCGTTTGACAGACCATTACTGTTATGCAAGAAAATACAGATTGAACAAACATGGCAAAGAAAGGATGTAATTCGTTTGAGAGTAGGATTTTGACAATACACGTATCAAACCCGGTAAGAGCAGTAGCTTGTTGTTGCCTCTTCTGCATGCACACAAACAATTCATCAAGGGTACAAGTGGAAAATCAAACAAACATAAGTTTCTTGTATTAACCCACAAACCCTTCAAAATATTGAATGACTTCAGTCACACGATAATAAGAAGGGGCATGACAAGGTAACGTCATATGTTGTAGAATGAGGATGATGTTAAACTTGTACAACTTGATAGCACCAATAATTGCACATGCTAAGCATAATACTTTAGCATAGAAAAAGATAATACTAAAATATTTCTCTTGCCTCCGGAATTACTTAATAGGATTATTACTATAAAAAAAGTCTCGTTTTTCCTAGGTTCTGTAACCCAGACTAAGTTTCAGCATAAAGCACTATGAAACACAAAAGCATGGAAAGTAGCAGACGTGTTAAGAGGAGTAAAACGTAAGGCAGTTTGGAGTGCATAAATTTTTATTTTTCAAAATGGGAGGTCACACAAGGTATGATGTTTCTCACCTTCATCTTGAAAGCCATGAAGAGAATGCCACAACCGGGAACATCAATATCAAACCATAGTTCAACAAACTATTTCCCATCCGGTCAAGAATAGCATTCCAAGTGCGTGTAAAAGGACAACCAACTTGTTTGGCCTGCACCATGAAATCCCTATCCTAACAATTTTTCACTTTGAAGAAAACATAGGCTGTAAAACAATAAACTATAGCTTACACTTATTTCAGGAGTAGCTAATTCTTGTGGAACATATGAAGCTTCTCGTTTTTCTTGGCATTCCCTTACTGGTTGATCCAAAGGCATCTTAATTTTAAGTTTATTGGAGTATCTACCCGAGAAAGCTCGATAAGGCGAATCAGTATGGATAGTCTCCATTACAGAACCAAAGAAATTGGTCACGGGTACCTACATACAGTGAGGAGAGGCAAATAAGAAACTTGACACCCTAAAAAAGACATTCGAAACACAAGTACATAAGCACTCTAGTATAGGCAATTAAAAAAATTCTGACAATTCTGTAGTAATAATCATTTGTGACATTATCATTTGGAAGTCCAAAAGGGGCATTGAAAGCAAATCATGACACCACTTATATGATGATACAAAAAAAATAAAAAAAATGAATGAATAAATGAAAAGAGTCCACAAACTCGCATTACACTTGATCATAATAGAGCCAATGGAATAAGAACAAACATACAAATTCTACGTACCTCTTCCAATCGTCGTTGGTATAAATCAGTTCGATAGTATGCAGTTGACAACAACAGATTCGGATTAAAGGAATTGAAAAGACTGCAAAACACACAAAAAAAAAAAGGTTAAACAAAATTCCACGACCCCTAATCAAGATCTTAGGAAACTAATTTTCTTTTGTGAAGGGACTATTAACCATGAATATTCTTCTCTGGATATTTCTAAAGAGTAAGTTAAAAAGAGAGCGTCAAAGACAAGAATGTTCGTCCCATATTGCCAGAAAGAAACAAAATTGGAATTATTAGTCTGTACTGTACTGTCAAGAAGGTCAAGGCATATGATTGAAATGAATAAAAACCGAGTGCTTCCATCAAAGCTATGTTGAAAGTATGAAGAAATCTCACTGGAATACTTCATATCATGGAACAAATATCTATGATTATAGCAGTTTTGATTAATTAGTCCAGATTGATCAACTAGCTAATACCTCAGATCTTCAAATCCCCATACTTCTTAGTTCTTAATCATATTAAAAAGTGAGACCACAAAGTAGTGGTTCCCAATTCTTTTGATAGAATCTCCATTTCTTTGACGAAACAGTTTCTTGATTAATAGTAAGATCAATCGATGGTAGATGAGGCATGGACCCATTTGAGTTACATACAATTACAGGAAATGTGCAGTTTGTATTTGCAGTGTAAGCTCACAACATGAAATCCCTCGTTATATAATAATCTAGCATATTCATCGTAAAGTTCATGGACCAAAAAGTATATTGATGACAGGTCTTGATAAATATAAACATGGTAGGTTTTACATCAAATGTTGGTACCACATACCTGCTCAGTGAGGCATTATCATACATATTTAACCTCTCGAAGAAGGCAAGAGTGTAAAATGTGAACCGATCTACGACAGATACACCAACCTTCAATAAAACAACAGAAGAAAACAACCAAAAGGTTAGTTCACTTGGGGATGGACATACGACAGCAGTCCCATGTCCTAGAGATATTATTAGCCTGTAAAAAAATATGGAAACTTACATCAGAGTCCAAGTGATGTGAGTACGAATTCTCTCCTTTCTTGCTACTTCCAATAGCTAAAACACCAGGTGATTGAAGCTAAATAAAAAA